CTTGAAATCGAAAAGTCGGAAATCCCAAAAATCGAGAAAATGAAATAAAAAATTTGAGAATTGAAGAAACTGGAAAAAGTTGAAAAATCGGAGAGGAAAATTGGAAAAATTCAAAAATTGCAAAATCAAAAAAACGCAGCCAAAAAAAAGAAAAATCGAAAAATTGGGATGTCGAAAAGTCCAGAAATCAAAAAGACGGGAAATTGAAAAATGAAGAACTCAAAAATTCAGAAAATCCAAAAATTTATAATCGAAAAGTCGGGAACCTTGAAAATGGTGAAATCGAATTCAAAAATTCAAAAAATCAAGAAAGTGAACATTCGAAAAGTCGAAAAATTAAGTCCAAACAGTAATAAATCGAAAAGTATATATATAATTGTATAACCCAAAAATTGTGAAATTAAGAAATCTAAAAATCTAAAATCGAAAAATTGCAAATTAAAAAGTTAAGGACTCAAAAATTCGGAAAATCCAAAAATTTATAAATCGAAAAATCCAAAAACTGAAAAATTGAAATCGAAGAATTGAAAAATCAAGAAATTGGACATTCAAATAGTTGGAAATTCAAACAATTAGAAAATCAAAAAGTCGAAAGTCAAGAAATCGGTTATTCGAAAAGTTGGAAAGTCGAAAAATCGAAAAATTAAAAAACTAAAAATCCAAACAGCGAAAAATCGAGAAATTGAGAAATCGAAAAATCTTAAAAATCGAGAACTCGAAAAAAAACGAAAAATTCAAAAATCGAAGTCGAGGAAACGAAAAATTCAAAAATCGAAAAATCGGAATGTCGAAAAATTGAGTAGTCAAAAAGTCGGGAAATCGAAAAATCCAGAATTAAAAAATTCAGAAAATCAAAAATTTATAAATCGAAAAATACAAAAATTAAAAAATTGAAAAATCGAAAAGTCGGGACCACAAAACTCGAGAAATCAAAGTCAAAAATTTGAGAAATCAAGGAACTGGACATTCGAAAAGTTGAAAAACCGAAAAATTCAAAAATCGATGTCCAGAAATCGAAAAATTCAAAATTGCAGCCAAAAAATCGAGAAATTGAAAAATTAAGAATTCAAAAATTCGGAAAATCCAAAACTTTATAAATCGAAAAATTGAAGTCAAAAATTCAAGAAAACAAGAAATTGGACATTCGAAAAGTTTAAAAATTGAGAAATTCAAAAATCGAAATGGAGAAATCTAAAAATTCAAAAATCACAAAATGCAAAATAATCGCAGTTAAATTATTGAAAAGTCGCAAAATCCAAACACTGAAAAATTCAGTTACAAAAATCGAAAAATCGAGAGAACGAAAATTCGGAAATCAAAAAAATCCAAAAATCGCATGCAAAAAATCGAGAAATGGAAAAATTGGGAATTCAAAAAAAATCGAAGATTTCAAAATTTAAAGAATGAAAGTCGAAAAGTCAAGAACTTGAAAAATCAAGAACTCAGAAATTCGAAAGATCCAAAAATTTTAGAATCCGAAATCCAAAAATTGAAAAATCGAATAGTCGGGAACACCAAAAATCGTGAAAAAATTTAAGACTGAAATTGAAAAATCAAAAACCATAAAGTCGTAACGAAAATCGAAAAATCGAAAAATTGTAAAAATGAAGAAAATTGCCAATCGGTAATTTGAAGAAATGAAAAAACAAAAATTAAAAATCGAAGTAAGGAAAAATTGAAAAAATAAATTATATACTCAAAACATTAAGCATCGATTAATTGCAAAAATAAACAAAACGAAAAATTGAAAACTCGAGAAATTCAAATCGAAAAATTGCAAAATCTAAAATCTGGAAAATTCTAAAGTTGGAAAATTGTAAAACTGAAAAATTTGAGCTTGAAATCTCAAAAAAAAAACGAATAATTGAAAAACTGCAAACTGAAAAATTGAAAAAAATCTAAAATCGGAATATTGAAAAATTGGAAAGTTGTAAAGAAAATAGAAAACCAAAATGAAAAATTGAAAACCGAGAAGTTAAAAAATCAACATTCAAACGACAAAAATCCAAAGTCAGAACATTGAAAAGCCGGAAAATTGAAAAAAAAAGAAAATAAATCGAAAAATTGGAAAATCTAAAAATTGGAAAATCGAAAAACTGGAAAATTTTAAAATGAAAACTGGAAAAGTTACATGTTGGAAAATTGAAGAAACAAAAAAAATCAAAAATTGAAAAATTGAAATTTGAAAGTACAAAAAAAAACAAGTAAAAAATTATAAAATCAATAATAATCCGGCACCCTCCGCCCACGCCTCCCTCGCTCTACACCTCCTTTAATACATTATATACATTTAATCCCTCTATGAAATGCTTTATTTTATTCATGACCTATGACTTTTTCACTATAATCCAGTAGTCCGAACATTTCAATAATCCGGCACCCTCCGGTTTTTAATAGTGCCGGATTAGTGAGATTATACTGTATTTCTATTTTAGAATGCATATTTCTTTTTTCGATTTTGAACTTGATAGATTTTTAAGTTTCTCAGTTTTAATCTTCAAGTTTTTGATCTCCAATTTTTATATTTTTCAAAGTTTTCATGTTATACGCTTTCGTTTTTTCATCTTCGATTTTTCGATATTACAGTTTTGTAATTTTTCCATTTTTTTTATTTGAAAAGTTGAAAAATCGAAGAAACGAAAAATTGAAACATTGCCAAACTAAAAATCGGAAAAATTAAGTGAATTGAAAAATTGGAAAACTCAAAAATGTAAAATTGAAAAATTATAGAATAGTCAAAATTGTAAAGTTTAAAAACTGTTACATTCAAAGATCCAAAAATTAAAAAAAAAAATATTGAGTAATTGGAAAATTAAAACTCTAATAAATGTAAATGTTTTAAAATCCTTTAATGGAAAAATGAAAAAATTCTAAAATCGTAAATTGATAAATGAAATCAAAAAATTCAAGAATCGAAAAGTTGGAAATTCCAAAAATCGAGAAATCGAAGTCAAAAATTGCGAAATCAAGAAACTGGAAATTCCAAAAATTGATTAATCAACAAATTCAAAAGTTGAAATCGAAAAGTCGGAAATCCCAAAAATCGAGAAACTGAAATAAAAAATTTGAGAAATGAAGAAACTGGAAAAGTGCAAAAATAAACTAAACGAAAAATTGAAAACTCGAGAAACTCAAATCGAAAAATTGCAAAATCTAAAAACTGGAAAATTCAAAAGTTGGAAAATTGAAAAACTGAAAAATTTGAGCTTGAAAGCTCAAAAAAAACGAATAATTGAAAAACTGCAGACTGAAAAATTGAAAAAAATCTAAAATCGGAATATTGAAAAATTGGAAAGTTGTAATGAAAATAGAAAACCAAATTGAAAAATCCAAAAATTGAAAACCGAGAAGTTGAGAAATCAACATTCAAACGAAAAAATCCAAAGTCAGAACTTTGAAAAGCCGGAAAATTGAAAAAAAAAAGAAAATAAATCGAAAAATTGAAAACTCCTAAAATTGCAAATCGAAAAATTGGAAAATCGAAAAACCCAAAAAAAATCGAGAAATTGAAAAATCGAAAGATCAAAAAATTGAACATTCAAAAAGTTTAAAAGCCGAAATAAAATATAAATTTCTAAACTGAAAAATCGAAAATTCTAAAGGCGAAAAATCCAAAAATCGAAAAATTCTAGAATCAGTTGATTTATCTAAAAATCCTATAGTCGAAAAATCGAAGTCCGAAAATCGAAAAACTGAAAGAAGCAAAAGTAAAAAAAATTAATAATTCAAATTGCAGCCGAAAAATCGGGAAGTCGGAAAATCCAGTAATCGAAAAGTCAAGAAATCTTTTGATTTTTGAATTTTTGGATTTTTCGACTTTTTTTTCGATTTCTCGACTTTTCGATTACTGGATTTTCCGATAAGTCGGAAAATCGAGAAATTGAAATAACTAAAAAAAATAAATTGAAAATTTTAAAAATCGAAAAATCCAAAAATTGCAACCAAAAAATCGAAAAATCAGAAAGTCGAAAAATCGGGAAATTGAAAAATCGAGTATTCGAAAAGTCGGAAAATCCATAAGTCGAGAGATCGAAAGAACGGAGTCGAAAAATCCAAAAATTGAAAAATTGAAATCGAGAAATTGAAAAATCGAAAGATCAAAAAATCGAACATTCAAAAAGTTTAAAAGCCGAAAAATATAAATTTCCAAACTGAAAAATCGAGAATTCGAAAGGCGGAAAATCCAAAAATCGGAAAATTGTAGAATCAGTTGATTTATCCAAAAATCCTATAGTCGATAAATCGAAGTCCGAAAATCGAAAAACTGAAAGAAGCAAAAGTAAAAAAATTGAGTAATTCAAATTGCAGCTGAAAAATCGGGAAGTCGGAAAATCCAGTAATCGAAAAGTCGAGAAATCGAAAAAAAAGTCGAAAATCCAAAAATTCAAAAATCAAAAGATTAAAAAATAAGTCGGAAAATCGAGAAATCGAAATAACTAAAGATAAAAAAAAAATGCAACCAAAAAATCGAAAATCGGGAAATTGAAAAATCGAGTATTCGAAAAGTCGGAAAATCCATAAGACGGGAGATCGAAAAAACGGAGTCGAAAAATCCAAAATTGAAAAATTTTAAAATGAAATCTGGAAAAGTTACATGTTGGAAAATTGAAGAAACAAAAAAATTAAAAAATTGAAAAATTGAAACTTGAAATTACAAAAAAAAAACAAGTAAAAAATTATAAAATCAATAAAACATTGAAAAAATAAAAATTGGAAACCCTTGGAATTGCAAAATCTGAAAATTGAAACTCAAAATTACATGTCGTAAAACTGAAGAAACAAAAAAATTAACAATTGAAGAACCAAAAAATTGAAAAGTCGAATAAATTAGAATTTCTAAAATCGTAACATTGAAAAAGTGAAAAACACTAGAAATAATAATTATTATTACATACTTAAAATGAAAACTAGAAAAATTGTATATCAAGAATTGAAAAATTGAAAATTTAAAGATCGAAAACTCGAGAAACTAATTTAAAAACCGAAATTTTCTTCACCAGTTACCCACCGATTGGGCCAAGGACGACTACTGCCATTCGGACCAGATCCTCCTCGACGCCTGCCGCATGACCGACCGCTGCAACCCCAACCCGTGCCAGCACGGCGGCACCTGCAAACAAAACTCGCAGGAATTCATCTGCGACTGCAAGAACACCGGCTACGGCGGCGCCGTCTGCCACACCTCCATCAACCCCCTCAGCTGCCAAGCCTACAAGAACGTCCAAGCCGTCAACCACAAAGCCGAAGTCAAGATCGACGTCGACGGCAGCGGCCCCCTAGCCCCGTTCCCGGTGACCTGCGAGTTCTACACCGACGGCCGCGTGGCCACCGTGGTCCACCACAACAACCAAGAAACCACTCAGGTCGACGGCTTCCAGGAACCCGGGAGCTTCCGCCAGGACATCCACTACGAAGCCGACGACGACCAAATCGCCGCCTTGATCAACCGCTCCAGCTCGTGCAAACAGCACCTGCAGTACGACTGCCGAGGGGCGCGGTTGTTCAACTCGCCGTCGACCGAAGGGAATTTCAGGCCGTTCTCGTGGTGGGTGTCAAGGCATAACCAGAAGATGGACTACTGGGGAGGGGCGCTTCCGGGGTCGAGGAAGTGCGAGTGCGGGGTGTCGGGGACGTGTATGGACCCCACCAAGTGGTGCAACTGCGACGGGGCCAACGACTTTAATAGTGACCGGTGGATGTTCGATTCGGGGTACCTTGCGGAGAAGGAGAATCTCCCGGTGAAGCAGCTACGGTTTGGGGATACGGGGACGGCGCTCGACCACAAGGAGGGGCGCTACACTCTGGGGCCGCTTCTGTGCGAAGGTGATGATCTTTTTAATAACGTAGTGACGTTTCGGGTGTCGGACGCCACCATCAATCTCCCGAATTTCGATATGGGTCACAGTGGTGACATCTACTTCGAGTTTCGTACGGCTGTTGAAAACGCTGTTTTATTCCACGCCCGTGGACCTTCCGATTTTATCAAGTTGAGTATTGTGGGTGGGAACCAGCTCCAGTTCCAGTACCAAGCGGGGCTAGGACCCATGGCTGTCATCCGAGAGACTTCGTATAAGTTGTCGGACGACGAGTGGCACTCGGTGTCAGTCGAGCGTAACCGAAAAGAGGCGATGATCATCGTCGATGGGGCACTCAAAGCGGAGGTGCGGGAGCCCCCGGGTCCGGTCAGAGCACTCCACTTGACGTCGGAACTAGTAATTGGGGCTAGTTTGGAGTACCGGGATGGATTCACTGGGTGCATTAGGGCGCTCTTGATTAATGGACAGCACGTGGACTTGGCAAGCTATGCCAGAAGGGGGTTGTACGGAGTCACGGAGGGGTGCGTCGGGAAGTGCCAGAGCAACCCCTGCTTAAATAATGGGACGTGCTTTGAGAGGTACGATGGGTATTGGTGCGACTGTCGATGGACGGCCTTCAAAGGTAAGTTCTGTTCAGGGTGTTTTTAGACAAAGGTAGGCCATGAAAATGTGGTAATTTTGTATATTCAAAAATTGAATAATCCAAAAACAGAAAAAAAATCGCGAAATCGAAAAATTGGGAAATCAAAAAGTCGAAAATTTCAAAAACTAAAGAATGAACGTTCAAAGGTCGAGAACTTGCAAACTCGAACAGTCGGAAAATCCAAAAATTGAGAAATCGAGAAAAGTCAAAAAATCCAAAAATTGAAATCGAGAAATTGAAAAATCGAAAGATCAAAAAATTGAACATTCAAAAAGTTTAAAAGGCGAAAAATATAAATTTCCTAATTTCCAAATTTCGAAAGGCGGAAAATCCAAAAATCAAAAAATCGGAAAATCGAGAAATCGAAAGAAGAAAATACCAAAAACTTGAGAAATAAAAAAATTGAAAAATCCAAAAAATCGCAAAATCGATTGATTTATCAAAAAGCCCATAATCGAAAATAAAGTCGAAAAATGGAAAAGTTGAGAAGTCGAAAAATCCAAAAATTGAAAAATCATCAAACCATGTATTCAAAAATCGAAGTCCGAAAATCGAAAAAATCAAAAGTAAAAAAGTTTAAAAATTCAAATTGCAGCCGAAAAACCGGAAAATCCAGTAATCGAAAAGTCGAGAAATCGAAAAAATTAAAAATAAGAAAAATTGATTTTAAAAATCGAAAAATCCAAAAATTGCAGCCAAAAAATCGAAAAATCGGGAAATTGAAAAATCGAGAAATCGAAAGAACGAAAAATCGAAAAATTGAAAAATTCAGAAATCGAAAAATCAAAACGTGCAGCAAAAATCGAAGAATCGAAAAATTAAAAAGTCGAGAAATTGAAAAATCTAGAAACCGAAGAGTTGGAAAATCCAAACATTGAAAATTTGAAGGATCTATTGATTTAGTCAAAAATCCAATTATCAAAAAATCGAAAAATCGGGAAATTGAAAAATCGAGTATTCGAAAAGTCGGAAAATCCATAAGTCGAGAGATCGAAAAAACGGAAGTCGAAAAATCCAAAAATTGAAAAATCGAAACACTCAAAAATCGCTGAAAATTCGGAAAATCGAGAAATCGAAAGAAGACAATACCAAAAATTTGAGAAATTAAAAAATTGAAAAATCCAAAAATACAACCAAAAAAAATCGCAAAATCGATTGATTTATCAAAAAGCCCATAATCGAAAAATCAAGTCGTAAAATGGAAAAGTTGAGAAGTCGAAAAATCCAAAAATTGAAATATCAAACCATGTGAGTTTCTTTCCGTTAATAAACTATTATTATTATGTATTCAAAAATCGAAGTCCGAAAATCGAAAAAAGCAAAAGTAAAAAAGTTTAAAAATTCAAATTGCAGCTGAAAAATCGGAAAATCCAGTAATCGAAAAGTCGAGAAATCGAAAAAAAAAAGTCGAAAAATCGAAAAATTCAAAAATCAAAACATTAAAAAATACATAATCGAGAAATCGAAAAATCCAAAAATTGCAGCCAAAAAATCGAAAAATCGGGAAATTGAAAAATCGAAAAGTCGGAAAATCCGTAAGTCCAAAAATTGAAAAATCGGAAAATCGAAAAATCAAAACGTGCAGCAAAAATCAAAGAATCGAAAAATTAAAAAGTCGAGAAATTGAAAAATCTAGAAACCGAAGAGTTGGAAAATCCAAACATTGAAAATTTGAAGGATCTATTGATTTAGTCAAAAATCCAATTATCGAAAAATCGGGAAATTGAAAAATCGAGTATTCGAAAAGTCGGAAAATCCATAAGTCGAGAGATCGAAAAAACGGAAGTCGAAAAATCCAAAAATTGAAAAATCGAAACACTCAAAAATAGCTGAAAATTGGGAAAATCGGGAAATCGAAAGAAGAAAATACCAAAAATTTGAGAAATTAAAAAATTGAAAAATCCAAAAATACAACCAAAAAAATCGCAAAATCGATTGATTTATCAAAAAGCCCATGATCGAAAAATCAAGTCGTAAAATGGAAAAGTTGAGAAGTCGAAAAATCCAAAAATTGAAAAATCAAACCATGTATTCAAAAATCGAAGTCCGAAAATCGAAAAAAGCAAAAGTAAAAAAGTTTAAAAATTCAAATTGCAGCTGAAAAATCGGAAAATCCAGTATTCGAAAAGTCGAGAAATCGAAAATTTCAAAAATCAAAACATTAAAAAATAAATAATCGAGAAATCGAAATTACTAAAAAAAAACAAAAATTGATTTTAAAAATCGAAAAATCCAAAAATTGCAGCCAAAAAATCGAAAAATCGGGAAATTGAAAAATCGAAAAGTCGGAGAATCCGTAAGTCCAAAAATTGAAAAATCGGAAAATCGAGAAATCGAAAGAACGAAAAATCAAAAAATTGAAAAATCGAAACACTCAAAAATCGCTGAAAATTCGGAAAATCGAGAAATCGAAAGAACGAAAAATCAAAAAATTGAAAAATTCAAAAATCGAAAAATCAAAACGTGCAGCCAAAATCGAGAAATCAAAAAATTAAAAAGTCGAGAAATTGAAAAATCTAGAAATCGAAGAGTTGGAAAATCCAAACATTGAAAAATCGATTGATTTGTCCACAAAGTCTATAACTGAAAAATGGAACAGTTGAGAAGTCGAAAGATCCAAAAATTGAAAAATCAAACTATTCAAAAATCGAAATCGGAAAATCGAGAAATTGAAACAAGCAAAAATAAAAAATCCAAAAATTGCAGCTAAAAAATCGAAAATTTGTAGAATCAGTTGATTTATCCAAAAATCCAATAGTTGAGAAATCGAAAGAAGAAAATACCTAAAACTTGAGAAATTAAAAAATTGAACAATCCAAAAATGCAACTAAAGATCGCAAAATCGATTGATTTATCAAAAAGCCCATAATCGAAAAATCAAGTCGAAAAATGGAAAAGTTGAGAAGCCGAAAAATCCAAAAATTGAAAAATCAAACTATATATTCAAAAATCGAAGTCCGAAAATCGAAAAACTGAAAGAAGCAAAAGTAACAAAATTGAAAAATTCAAATTGCAGCCGAAAAATCGGGAGGTTGGAAAATCCAGTGATCGAAAATCGAGAAATCGAAAAAAAAGTTGAAAAATCAAAAAATTAAAAAATAACAACATTCAAAAATAAGTCGGAAAATCGAAAAATCGAAATAACTAAAAATAAAAACAATTGAAAATTTTAAAAATCGAAAAATCCAAAAATTGCAAACAAAAAATCCAAAAATCAGGAAGTCGAAAAACCGGGAAATTGAAAACTCGAGTATTCGAAAAGTTGGAAAATCCATAAGTCGAGAAAATGGAGTCGAAAAATCCAAAAATTGAAAAATTGAAATCGAGAAATTGAAAAATCGAAAGATCAAAAAATTGAACATTCAAGAAGTTTAAAAGCCGAAAAATATAAATTTCCAAACTGAAAAATCGAGAATTCGAAAGGCGGAAAATCCAAAAATCGAAAAATTGTAGAATCAGTTGATTTATCCAAAAATCCTATAGTCGAAAAATCGAAGTCCGAAAATCGAAAAACTGAAAGAAGCAAAAGTAAAAAATTGAATAATTCAAATTGCAGCCGAAAAATCGAGAAGTCGGAAAATCCAGTAATCGAAAAGTCGAGAAATCGAAAAAAAAAGTCGAAAAATCCAAAAATTCAAAAATAAAAAAAACATTCAAAAATGAGTCGGAAAATCGAGAAATCGAAATAACTAAACATAAAAAAATTGAAAATTTTAAAAATCGAAAAATCCAAAAATTGCAACCAAAAAATCGAAAAATCAGGAAGTCGAAAAATCGGGAAATTGAAAAATCGAGTATTCGAAAAGTCGAAAAGTCCATAAGTCGAGAGATCGAAAAAACGGAAGTCGAAAAATCCAACAATTGAAAAACTCAAAAATCGATCAATCAAAACGTGCAGCCAAAATCGAAAAATCGGGAAATCGAAAAATTAAAAAGTCGAGAAATTGAAAAATCTAGAAATCGAAGAGTTGGAAAATCCAAACATTGAAAATTTTAAGGATCTATTGATTTAGTCAAAAATCCACTTACCAAAAAATCGAAAAATACAAAAATTCAAAATTCAAAAAATTCAAAAAAACAGTCGAGAAATCGAAAGAAGGAAAAATAAAAAAAATTGAGAAATTAAAAATTCCAAAATGCACCCAAAAGATCTAAAAATTGATTGATTTATCCGCAAAGCCTATAATTGAAAAATGGAACAGTTGAGAAGTCGAAAGATCCAAAAATTGAAAAATCAAACTATTCAAAAATCGAAATCGGAAAATCGAGAAATTGAAACAAGCAAAAATTAAAAAATCCAAAAATTGCAGCCAAAAAATCTAAAAATCGGGAAGTCGGAAAATCCAAAAATCGAAAATTTGTAGAATTGATCGATTTATCCAAAAATCCAAACAAGTCGAAAAATCCAAAAATTGAAAAGTTCAAAACATTCAAAAATAACTTGGGAAATCGAGAAATCGAAACAACTAAATCTCGAAAAATAGAAAATTTGTAGAATCGAATGATTTATCCAAAAATCTAATAATCGAAAAGTCGAGAAATCGGAAAAACAAAGTCGGAAAACCCAAAAATTGAGGAATTCAAAACATTCAAAAATAAGTTTGAAAATCGACAAATCGAAAGAACAAAAAATTGAAAAATCCAAAAATTGCACTAAAAAAAAAATCGAAAAATCAGGAAGTCGAAAAATTAATTGGGAAAAACATTGAAAACTTGATGGATTGATTTTTTCAAAAATCCGATTATCGAAAAATCGAAAAGGCGATCGAAAAATTGAAAAATTCAAAAAGCAAAGTTCGAAAAGTCGAAATATCGAGAAATCGAAAGAATGGAAAAATAAAAAAATCGAAAAATCCAAAAATTGCAACCAAAAAATTGAAAAATCAGGAAGTCGAAAAATCTGGAAATTGAAAAATCGAGTATTCGAAAAGTCGGAAAATCCAAAAATCGAAAAATCCAAAATTTGAAAAATTCAAAAATCGAACAATCAAAATGTGCAGACAAAATCGAAAAATTAAAAAGTCGCGAAATTGAAAAATCTAGAAACCGAAGAGTTGGAAAATCCATACATTGAAAATTTGAAGAATCTATTGATTTAGTCAAAAATCCAGTTATCAAAAAATCGAAAAATACAAAAATTCAAAAAACAGTCGAGAAATCGAAATCGGAAAATCGAGAAATTGAAAGAAGCAAAAATCAAAAAATTCCAAAAATTGCAGCCAAAAAATCGGGAAATCGGAAAATCCAAAAATCGAAAATTTGTAGAATCCATTGATTTATCCAAAAATGCAATAATCGAATAGTCGAGAAATCGAAAAAGCAAAGTCGAAAAACTCAAAAATTGAAAAATTCAAAACATTCAAAAATAAGTTGAAAAATTGAAAAATCGAAAGAACTAAAAATTGAAAAATCTAAAAATTGCACCAAAAAAATCGAAAAATCAGGAAGTCGAAAAATTAATTGGGAAAAACATTGAAAACTTGAAGGATTAATTTTTTCAAAAATCCGATATCGAAAAATCGAAAAGGCGATCGAAAAATTGAAAAATTCAAAAAGCAAAGTTCGAAAGGTCGGAATATCGAGAAATCAAAAGAAGGAAAAATAAAAAAATTGAAAAATTCGAAAGCAGAAAAATCCAAAAATTGCAGCCAAAAAATCGAAAAATCAAAAAGTCGGGAAATTGAAAATCGAGAACTTGAAAAGTCGGAAAATACAATAATTATAATAAATGGAAAAGTCGAAAAATCCGGACATTTAAATTGTTGAAAATTCGAAAAATTAAAAAATTGAAAATTCTCAAAATCCAAGCACTAAAAAATCGAAAAGTTGAAAAATAAAGAAAATCCAAAAACCGAAAAATTTAAAGAATAAAAAAAGTCGAGAAATTAAAGAATCCAAAAATCGAAAAATCCAGAAATCACACTTTTAAAGTGTTGGAAGACAGTAAAATCGAAAAATTAAATAATTGAAAATTCGAAAAATCCGAAACTGATAAATCGAACTTGAAAAATCAAGAGCTCGAAAAGTCCAAAATCGAAAAATTCAAAAATCGCAGTCAAAAAATCGGGAAGTTGGAAAATCCAGTAATCGAAAAGTCGAGAAATCGAAAAAAAAGTCGAAAAATCCAAAAATTCTAAAATCAAAACATTCAAAAATAAGTCGAAAAATCCGAGAAATCGAAATAACTAAAAATAAAAAAATTGAGAATTTTAAAAATCGAAAAATCGAGAAATTGAAAAATCGAGTATTCGAAAAGTCGGAAAATCCATAAGTCGAGAAATCGAAAAAACGGAAGTCGAAAAATCCAAAAGCTGAAAAATCGAAAAATCGAGAAATCGAAAGAACGAAAAATCAAAAAATTGAAAAATTCAAAAATCGAAAAGTCAAAACGTTCAGAAAAAATTCAAAAATCGAGAAATCGAAAAATTAAAAAGTCGAGAAATTGAAAAATATAGAAATCGAAGAGTTGGAAAATTTGAAGGATCTATTGATTTAGGCAAAAATCCAATTACCAAAAAATCGAAAAATACAAAAATTCAAAAATCAAAAAACAGTCGAGAAATCGAAAGAAGGAAAAATCAAAAAATTGAGAAATTAAAAATTCCAAAATGCACCCAAAAAATCTAAAAATCCATTGATTTATCCACAAAGCCTATAATTGAAAAATGGAATACTTAGTTGAGAAGTCTAAAGATCCAAAAATTGAAAAATCAAACTATTCAAAAATCGAAATCAGAAAATCTAGAAATTGAAAGAAGCAAAAATCAAAAAATCCAAAAATTGCAGCCAAAATATCGAAAAATCGGGAAGTCGGAAAATCCAAAAATTGAAAATTTGTAGAATTGATCGATTTATCCAAAAATCCAATAATCGAAAAGTCGAGAAATCGAAAAAACAAGTCGGAAATTCCAAAAATTGAAAAATCCTAAAATTGCACCCAAAAAAAATCGAAAAATCATGAAGTAGAAAAATTAATTGGGAAATCAAAAACTCGGGAAATTGAAAAATCCAAAAAACTCGAAAATCCGGAAAATCCAAAAATCGAAAACTTGAATTGATAGATTTATCCAAAAATACAATAATCGAAAAGTCGAGAAATCGAAAAACGAAGGCGGAGAATCCAAAAATTGAAAAATTCAAAAATCGGGAAGTCGAAAAATTAAAAAGTCGTAAAATTGAAAAATCTAGAAATTGAAGAATTGAAAAATTCCATTGAAAACTTGAAGGATTGGTTTTTTCAAAAATCCGATTATCGAAAAATCGAAAAGACGATCGAAAAATTGAAAAATTCAAAAAGCAAAGTTCCAAAAGTCGGAATATCGTGAAATCAAAAGAAGGAAAAATAAAAAAATTGAAAAATTCAAAAGTGGAAAATCCAAAAATTGCAACCAAAAAATCGAAAAGTCGAAAAATCCGGACATTTAAATTGTTGAAAAGTCGAAAAATTAAAAAGTTGAAATTTCCCAAAATCCAAACACTAAAAATTGAAAAGTTGAAAAATAAAGAAAATCCAAAAACCGAAAAATTTAAAGAAACAAAAAGTCGACAAATTCAAAAATCCAAAAATCACAAAAACCAAAAATCAAGAAATCACACTTTTAAAAATTGAAAAATCCAAAAATTGCACCCAAAAAAATCGACAAATCAGGAAGTCGAAAAATTAATTGGGAAATCAAAAACTCGGAAAATTCTAAAATCCAAAAACGGCGAAAAGCCGGAAAATCCAAAAATCGAAAACTTGAAGAATGGATAGATTTATCCAAAAATACAATAATCGAAAGTCGTGAAATTGAAAAATCTAGAAATTGAAGAATTGAAAAATTCCATTGAAAACTTGAAGGATTGGTTTTTTAAAAAATCCGATTATCGAAAAGACGATCGAAAAATTGGAAAATTCAAAAAGCAAAGTTCGAAAAGTCGGAATTTCGAGAAATCGAAAGAAGGAAAAATTGAAAATTGAAAAATTCAATAGTGGAAAATCCAAAAATTGCAGCCAATAAATCGAAAAATCAAAAAGTCGGGAAATTGAAAATCGAGAACTTGAAAAATCGGAAAATACAAAAAATATAAATCGAAAAATCTGAACATTTAAATTGTTGAAAAGTCAAAAAATTGAAAATTCCCAAAATCCAAACACTAAAAAATCGAAAAGTTGAAAAATAAAGAAAATCCAAAAAATTTAAAGAATAAAAAAGTCGAGAAATTGAAAAATCTAAAAATCAAAAAATCGAAAAATCAAGAAATCACACTTTTAAAGTGTTGGAAGATAGGAAAATCGAAAAATTAAATAATTGAAAATTCGGAAAATCCGAACTGATAAATCGAACTTGAAAAATCAAGATCTCGAGAAGTCCAAAATCGAAAAATTCAAAAATCGCAGTCAAAAAATCGAAAACTGGAAAAATCGAAATCTCGGAAAATCGAAAAATCCGAAATTCAAAAAGTGGAAAAATAAGAAATCGGACATTTAAAACGTTGGAAAGTCTAAAAATCCAAATAAAAAAAATTGATAAACGCGAAAAATCGAAAAGTTGAAAAATTAAGAAAATCAAAAAACCGAAAAATCGGAGTCTACAATTCTAAAAATTGAGAAATCGAATAATCCAAAAATCGCAGCCAAGAAATCGCGAAATCAAAAAGTCAAAAATTTCAAAATTTAAATAGTGAAAGTCGAAAAGTCGAAAAATTGAAAAGTCGGCAAATCCAAAAATCGAAAAATTAAGAAATCGGACATTCGAAAAATTCAAAAATCGGAAAATATAAAAGGGGGAATTTTTTGGGGTTTTATTTTTTTTTCCCGGAATCTTCAAAATGAATAAAATATGGCAAGTTTTGGAATATTTTAAAAATTTGAATTTGAAACTAAATATTTAAAAAATCTTCGAATGGGACCAGAGTCCTTTTGAAAATTATCGAATTTAGCTTCCAGATTTTGTTTTTTTTTTTAATTTAATTTTTTCGAAAGTTCCTACCATTTTTCCAGAATCACCAAAATGATATAACGCAATTTTTGGAATATTTAAAAAATTTAAATTTGAAACAATATTTGAAAATCTTGGCCCGAGACCATAGTATCTTCGAAAACAGAGACTATTTTGCTGATTTCGATTTCCAGAATTTTTTTTTCTTCGAAAATTTCTTACATCTTTAAAAAATCTTTAAGATGAAGACAATAAAGCAAATTTTGGGAAATGTTAAAATTTTAATTGTATAAATAGTTCGAAAATCTTGGTCTGGAACCATAGCACCATTATTTTCCCTATTTTGATTTCCAGAATTTTTTTGGATTTCATTTCTTCCAAAATTCCCACCATGTTTCCAGTTGAACCAGTTTATCCAACGTGAAGAATTAAATCCATGGCTCATTTTTGTCTAAAAACACCCTAAACGGTTTATATTTGACTGTGTACTAATCGTCGGTTCAGGCCCTATCTGTGCCGACGAGATCGGCGTCAACATGCGCCCCACCTCCATGGTCAAGTACGACTTCATGAGTTCGTGGCGCTCGACCATCGCCGAACACATCCGAGTGGGTTTCACCACGACCAATGCCAAAGGGTTCTTGCTGGGTTTTTCGTCCAACGTCTCCAAGGAGTACTTAACCATCTTGGTATCAAACTCGGGCCATCTTCGGGTGGTATTCGACTTCGGTTTCGAGAGACAGGAGGTGATCTACCCCGAAAAACTATTCAATTTGGGGCAGTACCACGACTTACGGCTCTCTCGTAAAAACTCGGGGGCCACTTTAGTCATGCAAGTGGACAACTACGAGCCCAAGGAGTTTCATTTCGACATTAAAGAGTCAGCGGATGCGCAATTCAACAACATCCAGTATATGTACATAGGGCGAAACGAGTCCATGACGGAGGGCTTCATCGGGTGTATATCCCGAGTGGAGTTCGACGATATTTACCCCTTGAAACTGTTATTCCAACAGTCGGGACCCATTAATGTGCAGTCCCTCGGGAGTGAGTACTTGTGGGCTAATTTAGTTGGAAGTTGGTTAATGGGTTGTTTTAGCTCCCCTAACTGAGGATTATTGTGGCGTGGAACCCATCACCCACCCCCCGGACACCATAGAGACGCGCCCTCCACCAATCCTAGACGAGGAGCAACTAAGGAAGGCCTACAATCAGACCGATTCGGCCATCCTGGGCAGCGTCCTCGCCATTATTTTCTTAGCTTTGGTGATCCTAGCCATCATAATTGGTCGTTATTTACACCGCCATAAGGGCGAGTATCTAACGCAAGAGGATGCAGGTGCAGACACCGCTTTAGACCCAGATACCGCCGTCGTTCACGGTACCACAGGACACCACGTGCAGAAAAAGAAAGAGTGGTTTATTTAGTCAAGCTAGCGTAATGTAAAGGAGGCCTAATAGTACAACTGACACTTTTGAGGCAGCGCCTCAACAAAAAGTGGGGTTAGAGAAAATTGTAGCCTCACTTTTTGTCGAAGCGACTTTTTTTCTTCGTTGTTTTAATGAATGATTTATTTTTATATTTTGTGTTCGTGTGGCACAAACTAGGTTTGTGCAATTTCAGTGTTTTCTACTTAAATTATTTTTTTCCGTCCATTTTGTGTGTTTTAACATTCCAGTATTATTACACTGTTAAAATCGATCACTTGATCTTCCAAAAGTTTAGTCGCTAGGATAAGTGCCTTTTTATGGCATTTTGGATATCTGCACTGTAATACTTATTTTTTGTTGCTTTTATATCAAATTGTAACATACTGACTGTTAAGAGTCTAGTATAAGATATTGTGTACTTTTTTTACAAATAAAATTGGATATACACAAATTGGAGTGTTTTACTTCGTGAGCGTTAGCTAAGCTATCACAATTTTTTCGAAAAAAAAATCGGGAATTTGAAAAAACTCGATTAACCGAAAAATCCAAAAACTGAACAATCGAGAAATCGAAAGAACGAAATTATCTGATTTTTCGATTTCTCAATTGTGTGGTTTTAATGAATCAATTTTGTAATTCTTGGTTTTTAACATTTGTCGTTTTTTCAGTTCGAAGTCAAAAACTTGAAAAATCGAAAAGTTGTAAGAAACTGAAAACCTGAAAAGTCGGGAAATCAAGAAATCGTACATTAAAAAATCTAAAAATTGAAAAAGGCCAAAATTCGCAGTCGAAAAATCGAGAACTCGAAAAATACAAAATTTGAGAAATGGAAAAATCCAAAAATTTAAACCGACAAATTAAAAAATCCAAAATTCGAAAAATCAAGAACTCGGGACATTCGAAAAGTTCAAAAGTCGGAAAATGGAAGAATCAAAACATTGATGTCGGTAAATTGGAAAATCTAAAAATTAGTTTTTTCTAAAGTTGGAAAACTGAAAACCGAAATCGAAAAACTGAGATTCTGAGCTGCACTTCCGGGACAACGAAAAATCAATAAAAGACAAAAATTGGAAAATGAAAAAGTCGGAAATTTAAAGAATGAAATAATAATCAAAATAAGTCGAGAAATTGAAAAATGGAAAATTCCTATAGTCGCAACATCTAAAAATTGAAAAATCAAACTATTCAAAAATCGAAATCGGAAAGTCGAGAAATTGAAAGAAGCAAAAATCAAAAAATCCAAAAATTGCAGCCAAAAAATCGAAAATTTGTGTTTGATCGATTTATCCTAAAATCCAATAATCGAAAAGTCGAGAAATCGAAAAAACAACTCGAAAAATGCAAAAATTGAAAAATTCAAAACATTTAAAATAACTTGGAAAATCGAGAAATCGAAACAACTAAAAATCGAAAAATCCAAATATTGCAACTGAAAAATCGGGAAGTCGGAAAATCCAAAAATCGAAAATTTGTGGAATCAAGTGATTTATTTATCCAAAATTCCAATAATCGAAAAGTCGAAAATATAAAAGGGGGAATTTTTAACAGAGATTCTTTAGCTGATTTAAATTTTTTTGGGGTTTTATTTTTTTTTTCGGAATCTTCAAAATGAATAAAATATGTCAAATTTTGGAATATTTTGAAAATTTGAATTTGAAAATAAATATTTAGGAAATCTTCGCATAGGACAATAGTCCTTTTGAAAATGATCGAATTTAGCTTCCAGATTTGCTTTTTTTTTTATTTAATTTTTTAATTTTTGGAATAATTAAAAAATTTGAATTTGAAATAATATTTGAAAATCTTGGCCTGGGACTATAGTATCTGTGAAAACAAAGATTATTTTGCTGATTTCGATTTCCAGAATTTTTTTTTTTTGGTTTTATTTCTTCCATCTTTACAAAATCTTTAAGATGAATAAAATAAAGCAAATTTTGGAAATTTTATTTTTATCGGGCTTCCGAAAAATTGGAAAATCCAAACATTCAAAAACTGGAGAGCTGAAAATCAAAAATCGAAAAATTGAAAAATCGAAATATTTAATTACATCGAGAACTAGAAAAAATCTATGTCGAAATTTTTTTTAAAACTATCATTACGTAATTAAAATGAAAACTAGAAAAACTACTAATCAAAAATTGAAAACTCAAATCTGAAAAATTTTAAATTGGAAAGACCAAAAATTGCAAATCCTAAAAGTTGGAAAAAATCAGACAATCCTAAAACAACAAAAAACGAAGTCGGAAAATCGAAAAGACGAAAGTTCCAAAATCAAAAAATTCAAAAATTGCAGTCAAAAAGTCGAAAATTTCAAAGTTTGAAGAACGAAAGTTGAACAATTGGAAGATTGAGAATTCGAAAAGTTGGGAAATCCAAAAATTGTTAATTCGAACGTCAGGAAATCCAAAAATCAAATCGAAAAGTCAAAAAATCAAGAAATCGGACATTTGCAAATTTAAAAAGCCGAAAAATCGAAATCTCCAAACATTGAAAAATCGAAAAGTTGAAAAATCAAGCGTTTGAAAAATCAAAAAGTCGAAAATTCCAGAAATCGGACATTTAAAATGTTGAAAAATTGAACAATTTTGGAAAATCCAAAAACCGAAAAATTGAAGTTGAAAAATCGAGAAATCAAAAAATCCAAAAATCGCAGTAGAAAAATCGAGTAATCAAAAAGTCGAAAATTCCAAAATTTGAAGAATAAAAACCAAAAATTGAGAACTAAAAATCAAAAAATTAAAATCGAGAAATTGAGGAATCTAAAAATCGAATGAATGGACATTCGAAGTTGAAAAATGGAAAAATTAAAAAATTGAAACCCCGAAAAATCGAAATTTCTAAACATTGAAAAATCAAAGAATTGAAAATTTTGAAATTCGAAAACATCCAAAAATCAAAAAGTAGCGAAAAATTAAAAAAATTAAAAGTCTGAAAATCCAAACATTGAAAAATCGAAAAGTTGAAGAATTAAAAAAATCCAAAGGCCGAAACACTGAAGTCGAAAAATCGAGAAACTGAAATATCGAAAAATTGAAAAATCGAGAACTTGAAAGAACGAAAATCCAGAAATCAAAAAACCAAAAATCGCAGTCAAAAAATCGAAAACTTGGAAAATCAGAATTTTCTTAATTTTTTCCCGACTTTTCGAGTTCTCGATTTTTCTATTTCTCTACTTTTCGCTTTCATTCTTTAAATTTTGAAAATTTGGAGTTTTTGATTTCTCGACTTCGACTTCCCGAGTTTTCGATTTCTTGATTTTTGATGTTTCGATTTCTAAATTTTTAGAATTCGATCGATTTTTCAATTTTTCAGTGTTTGGATTTTCTTGATTTTTCCGAATTTTCATTTTTTTAATTTTTTGATTTTTAAACTTTTCAACATTTTAAAAGTCCGATTTCTTGATTTTTCGGTTTTCGATTTTCCCAGTTCTCTATTTTTCAATGTTTGGATATTTCGATTTTTTAACTTTCCTATTTTACGGCTTTTCAACTTTTCGAATGTCCGATTTCTTGATTTTTCGAATTTTGTAATTTTTCGATTTTTTGAATTTTCGAGAAATCGAAAAGTTAAAAAATCGAAAAAATCCAAATCGTACATTCGAAAAGTTGAAAAGTCGAAAAATAGAAATTTCCAAGCACTGAGAAATCGAAAAGTTGAAAAATCGAAAACTTAGAAAATTGAAAAATCCAAAAATCAAAAAGTCGAAATATCAAGAAATCCGACTTTTAAGATGTGGGAAAGTATAAAAATTGAAAAATTAAAAAGAAAATCCAAACATTGAAAAATGAACAAAAATTTGACGTTGAAAGATCGAGAAATTCAAAAATTGCAGTCAGAAAATCGAGAAAACGAAAAATCGGGAAGTCGAAAATTCGAGAAATCAAAAATTCCAAAATTTGAAGAATGAAAGTCGAAAAGTTGAGAAATAGAAAAATCGAGAGCTCGAAAAGTCGGAAAATCCGAAAATTGAAAAATCGAGAAGTCGAAAAATCCAAAAATTAATTTTTCAATCCGAGAAATTGAAAAATCCAAAAATCGGGAAGTCGAAAAGTCTGGAAATCCAATCACCGAGAAATCAATTAACCGAAAAATCCAAGTTAAAAAATTAGACAATCCTAAAACAAAAATCGAAAGAACGAAAGTTGAAAAATTGAAAGATTGAGAATTCGAAAAGTTGGAAATTCCAAAAATTGCTAATTCGAACGTCGGAAAATCCTAAAATCAAATCGAAAAGTCAAAAAAACAAGAAATCGGACATTTACAAATTTGAAAAGCCGAAAAATCTAAATCTAAACATTGAAAATCGAAAAGTTGAAAAATCAAGCATTTGAAAAATCAAAAAGTCGAAAATTCCAGAAATCGGACATTTAAAATGTTGAAAAATTGAAAAATTTTGGAAAATCGAAAGATTTATGTTGAGAAAATCGAGAAATTGAAAAATCCAAAAATTTGAAAATTGAGAAATCAAAAAATCCAAAAATCGCAGTAGAAAAATCGAGTAATGAAAAAGCCGACATTTTCAAAATTTAAAGAATAAAAATCCAAAAATTGAGAACTAAAAATTGAAATTGAGAAATTGAAGAATTCAAAAATCGCGAAGTCGGAAAGTCAGGAATTCAACAAATTGAGAAATCAAAGTCGAAAAATCCAAAATTCGAGAAATCAAGAAATCGGACATTCAAAGTTGAAAAATGGAAAAATTAAAAAATTGAAAAGCCGAAAAATCAAAATTTCCAAACATTCAAAAATCGAAAACATGAAAAATCAAAAAGTCGCGAAAATGAAAAAAATTAAAATTCTGAAAATCCGAAAAATTGAAGTCGAAAAATCGAGATACTGAAAAATTGAAGAATTGAAAAATCGAGAACTTGAAAGAACGAAAATTCAGAAATCAAAAAACCAAAAATCGCAGTCAAAAAATCGAAAACTTGGAAAATCAGAATTTTCTCAATTTTTTACTTCGATTTTTCCATTTTTCTACTTTTCGACTTTCATTCTTTAAATTTTGAAAATTTGGAGTTTTTGATTTCTCGACTTATCGACTTCTCGAGTTTTCGATTTCTTGATTTTTGACTGCGATTTTTGGATTTTTCGTTTTCTCAGGTTTTAGATTTTTATCGATTTTGCTGTTTGTGGATTTTCTTCATTTTTCAATGTTTAGATTTTCCGAATTTTCAATTTTTTGATTTTTAAACTTTTCAACATTTTAAAGTCCGATTTCTTGATTTTTCGATGTTCCGAGTTCTTTATTTATCAATGTTTGGAAATTTCGATTTTTTGACTTTTCTATTTTTCGGCTTTTCAACTTTTCGAATGTCCGATTTCTTGATTTTTCGAATTTTGGAATTTTTCGATTTTTTGAATTTTCGGGGAATCGAAAAGTTAAAAACTCGAAACAATCCAAATCGTACACTCGCAGTCGAAA